AATAAAACTTGACAAGAAATATAAAAAAGGCTCCGGATATCAAATTAGCTTTTATAGTAAATATATCACACGAATAGATGCTAATATTAAAAAAGTTAAACACGATCAAGAATTTGTTGATTGAACTAAAAATTCAACTAAAGTCAAATTCCAAAAGATCAAGACTTAATTAATATTTGTCGAAAATGTGGTAAAAATTATGATCAACACAATCAAAGTGAAGCAGCAGATCTAACAATTAAAGAATCTTTATTGACCATGACAAATACTTTTGAGTTACCTGACTTGTCTGAAGTAAACGCAACTGATTCAGAAATTAATGGTGAAAAAGATCCTGAATTGGATATTATTAACATGAAAGAGCCTGAATCAGGAGCTATTAATACGAAAGAGCCTTTCATAAATAAAAATATGTATAAATATATGAAATATTACCTTTTTGTGCATATATCCAAGTTGGTGTACAGTATTATAGCCCTCCATATTGTTGTAAGAAAGTTTAATCTCGGATTGTAATTCATACAAGTACTAGTCAGGTTTTTTTTTCATTAAAACTTGAAGATAATTTATATCATTCATGTTTAAAGAACGTGGTTTTCCTGAAAGCGGTGGAAGTTTTTCAATACAACAATATCTTTGAAAATGCACAAGAACCTGACTTATAGAAGATCTGCTAACATCTAAGTGTTTTGCAATTTTTTGAGTTGAAAGGCCTTCTAAATTTCTTTCAATAATTTGTGGGTTGAAAATAGAAAGAAAAAATAAAAATGTAAATAAAAGATTGAACATAGCCTGATCTCAGGTTGCACCCAGAGCTTAACCCACCTTATTGATTTGCCAGCCATTCGAAAGTACCATTCTTGATCTATAGTAGATCAGATAGTAAATTGGCCGGTATAATAAACAATAATATTTTAATTTTGATGAATCAAAAAGGACACTTTAAACAATAGCAATGACGCAGTAAATAGCCAGAAAATTAATATAGTGGGTTAAGCCAAATCATCCAGGGCGACCACCAAAAATGCTGGTGACATAAGATTAGTAAGCGTCACTTATTGGCTCCCTTTTAGCTGCATATTGTAAATTTTTAAATAGTTTATCATTATTGTAATTCATTACTGCAATATATATACAATAGCTGCGCTATAATCACATTACAGCGTTTTTGGTGGTTGCTCTAGATGATTCGGTTAAGCTCTGGTTGTGCCGATAGTTATTAGATGAAACCTTTTATGCTATAGTTTTTGCTTGGATGAAACCTAAGCCCCAAAATTATGAAACCCTGACGAAAGATGAAACCCAAAACCCAAATTCAAGTTGATGAAACCTTAGTGCTTTCACTAAAAAAAAAAAAAAAATAGATTGCTGAAAATTTCAGATAATAATGAAACCTTAATGCTCTCGCTAAAAATCCTTACTGAAAATTAATAAAATATCTCTAATTTTATATATTTGACAATCGATAAATTATTATTAAGGCTTTTTATTTATATTTATCACTGTTTTCAAAATAGTTGAAAATAACATAAAATTTTTTTTTGATATACACCTGATTAGCTTAGCACATTTGAATATAATTTTGTAAATGTTTGCCAAACAATGGTCATTTGCACAATTGGCTAGTGCAGATAAATTGTCGGGTAACAATTTATCTACACTAGCCAATTATACAAAATTACATAAAATCGGGCTAAGCTAATTGGGTATATGTCGAAAAAAAAGTTATTTTCAATTTTTAACTTTTTCTAAAACAGCAAAGATGTTTATTGATTTAAAAAGCCAATTACAGTAATTATAAATAGATAAATAAGCCATTAGCATCCTGAAGATGTTTATTGGCTAGACCCGCTTATATATTTAGTTTTTAAAAGCCAATTACAGAAATTATAAATAGGAAAATAAGCCATTAACATATCTCAATTATTATGACAGAAAAAAAAAAAAAAAAAAGCAAACAAAAAAAACAAATCAACAATATAAATATATTTAAGGTGGGCAATGTACCCTACATTTTTTGCTGCATATGAGGTACTTGGAGTAACACTCCTTGATCTTATTCTAGGTGATCTTCTTGGCAGCGAAGTTATCTGTTAAAGCATGAGGAAAAATATTACCAATATACTAAAAGTAATAACTATTTACTTGACTTACCGGTACATAAAGATCCTTATCCGATCTGGCAGAACAATGCTCATCTTCCAATTCATCAGAACTATCTTCCAAATCGACAGAACTATGCCTTCTCTTTTGAGCTAAATGAAATTATTAATGCTAATGAAATAATTTGTGCATAGTAATAAATAAAGTATATTTTAGTGAACTTGGTTTGCTTTTTTTATTTTTAAAAATTAAAGTTCTTTATACATGGTCGATAGTTATAATCTCTTCACTATTTTTGTCTTTGTCTTGTTACAGACACAAACTCTGAACATTCTATAATAATAATTGTTATAGTTATATATATCAAATATAAAATATAAGAGGTGTGACGACTTAGTGTAGTGGTCTAGTCGTCACCCTCTCCAAGTGGCAGGTCTAGAGTTCAAATTCCATGGACGACGAATTTTGAAAAATAGTCTGTGCTACGGTTTACGGTTGTCAATTATCGGTTGGATCTAGAAATCTGTAATCTCGGTCATACCATCTAGTTATGG